TTAGGAGAATTGACTCACACAATCACAATGTGAAGTCTCACAATAGGCCATCTGCAAGCTGAGGAGCCAGGAAGCCAGTGCAAGTCCCACAACCTCATCAGTAGGAAAGCCAATAGTGCAGCCTTCAGTCTATGGGCAGAAGACCTGATAGTCCCTGACAAATCATTGGTGTAAGTCCGAGAGTCCAAACGCTGAAGAACTTGGGAGTCTTCATTTGAGGGCAGGAAGCACCTAGCATGAAAGAAAGGTGGAGGCCAGAAGACTGAGCCAATCTAGTACTTCCAGGTTCCTCTCCCTGCTTGTATCCTAGCCACACTAGCAGCTGATTAGATGGTACCCACCCAGATTGAGGATAAGTCTGCCTTTCCCAGTCCACTGACTCAAATGATAATCTCCTTTGGCAATACACTCACAGACACACCCAGGAACAGTAATTAGCATCCTTCAATCAAATTGACACTCAAGATTAACCACCACCATAGAATAAAACTGATGATAAAGAAAATGTGGGGCTGGGCATGAGGGTTCACACCTGTAATCCTAGCAGTTTAGGAGGCCAAGGTGGGAGGATCAATTGAGCTCAAAAGTTCAAGACCAAGCTGGGTAACACAGTGAGATGTCATCTCAGAAAGAGAGAAAAGAAAAAAAGAAAGAAAGAGGGAGAGAGAGAGAGAGAGAAAAGAAAGAGAGAGAGAAAGAAAGAAATGAAAGAAAGGAAGGAAGTAGAGGTTAAAAAAAATAAAGAAAATATGGTACATATACACAATGGCTATTTAGCCATACAAAGAATGAAATCATGTCTTTTGCAGTACCATGGATAGAACTGCAAACCGTTATCTTAAGTGAAATAAGTCAGACATGTATTGCATGTTCTCACTTGTAAGTGGAAGCTAAATAATAGGTACACATGGACACGGAGCGTGGAATAATAGACACTGGAGACTTGGAAGGGTGGGAGCATGAAAGGGGGTGATGGATGAGGAATTATTTAATGTGTACAATGTATATTTTTCAGGTGGTTGTTACACTAAAAGCCCAGTCTTCACCACTATGGAATCTATACATGTAACAGAACTGCTCTTGTACCCCTTAAATTTATACAAAATTAATATATGGTTTGGATATGTCCCCACCCAAATCTCATCTTGAATTGTAGCTCCCACAATTCCCATGTGTTGTGGGAGGGACTCAGGAGGAGGTAATTGAATCATGGGGGTGGGCCCTTTCCTTGCTAGTCTAATGATAGTGAATAAGTCTCACGAGATCTGATGGTTTTATAAAAGGGAGTTTTCCTGCACAAGTTCTCTTTTCTTGTCTGCCAAGTGAGACATGCCTTTTACCTTCCACCATGATTGTGAGGCCTCCCCATCCATGTGGAACTGTGACTCCATTGAACTTGCTTTTATACTTTCTCTTTTGTAAATTGTACAGTCATACACACACACACACACACACACACACTCTCTCTCTCTCTCTCTCTCTCTATCTCTATCTCTCTCTCTCAGAGTGAAGACGGTCAAGCAATCAAGTGATTCTATAGCTGTCTTTAGTATGCCTTTTTCAGAATTATTTTTAGTCAGTACTTATGTTTCACATCGTTAAAATATATATAAGTGTGTTTTACTTGGCTTGAAGAAATACATAAAACAAAAGTAAAAATACAACCCAAAAAGTAGACAAAGAAAAAATTAAAGTGGCACAATAAGAAAAAGTACAGGTTTCCATCTATGCATGAAATTTATACTGTAGGTCAAATTACACAACAGATAAAGGTGGACCACAAAAAATGGTTCTGAAATTTCTAGCAGACAGACCAAAAAGGAAAAACGATCAGATTCATAGGGGCCATCAGATAAAAGCAAGCATGTCAAAAGACAGTTTTATTACAGCTCAATCTTTTAACCATCCAAACACTTTCTGAACTCACAGACACTTTACCTAAGCCTCTTTTCTGCATGCATCTGTCTTTAACTTGTGTTTAGGCATCTTGATCCACTGCAAAACCATGTGAATCGTAAAGACAGAGGCCTTAGCATATTAATTTTTTATAACACTGTGCTTCACACAAGACAGGATTTCCATTACATGTTTGCACAATAAATTAATTAATGACATTTTAAGATGTATGTCAAAAGAAAGGAACCTGTTCGAGTGAACCTCACACTCTCAAAGCACACTGGCTGGGAAGACAGGCTGACAAATTGTATTGAGAAAAATGAAGGTTATAAGGTGGATCTCTCTGTGTGTATAGGAATAATTATTATGGCAATTTATTATCATTTTTACAAAAGGGAAACAGAATGGAGTGGTTGAAGAAGATAGCTTGAAAAGAAGGGAGAAACTATTGAATACAGACTCTTCATTACAAATTTTTATCAAAATCTGAATCTCAGTAGAATAACAATCTGAAGTCACTGGGCAAATGGTCTTCATTCACTTTAAAATTAATAATCATATTGTTTTTAAGTTACAAGTTTCCCATCAATTTAAGTGTCTTTAACTGTATTCCAACAATTTATACTATTCACTAATACATTTTATTGTATCCAAAGTCTAGAAGCATCTAGTCAAATTACTGTATTTGTTATATGGTAATCAGTATTATTTTGGCCTTTAATGCCAGAATTCTATGTAACAGTTATCTAAGTGGGGGTTAATTTGGGTATTTCATGCAATTTCCTTTTTATTCGTATATTTATTTGGCAAGCACTTACTATCTGCTCACAATGTGCGAGCACTGTGGGTGAGAAAGAAGCATGGTACCACTAATCAAGGAACTTACAGTCAAGAAGGAGAAATAACTACAACAGAGGAGTGCATATTTGTGTACACCAAGGAATGGCGCAGAGTCCTCCAGGAGCTGAAGGTCATAAGACAAAAAGAGCTAACTTCTTGGTTTGATCTAAGGAGAAACAGCAGAGGAGGTGGCATTAGATCTAGTCTTAAATAATACGAAAACTTTGGATTCCTATTTAAGGGCACATGTGGAAGTAGGGGGATGCAAAATTGTTAGATGGAATTTAGGATGAAGTATCTTAACCTCAAACAAAGGAGCAGTGGAAACAGTTGTGTAAGGGGAAGGGAAGGGAAGAGAAGAGGGTGTTAACATCTTGATGAAAGGGATAGCAAAATCAGAGTGACACATGACGTGAATTATTGATGGAGGTGTACAGGAAAGAATGTACTGCATTTGTGTCTTTCAATACATCCAGAAGAACAATGCCAACCAGAGTTGAAGCGCATTTTCCAGTATAGGCAAATGTTTAGAGACAGAAAGTAGAGTAGGGTTAGCCAGAAGCTGGGGCCAGGGGAAATAGGGAGTAACTGCTGATGGAAATGGTTTTCTTAAATTTCTTGTAGTGATTAAAAATGTTCTGGAATTAGGTTGTGATAATGGTTGCATGATTTTGCAAATGTTTAAAAAGTCATATATTCTCCACTTTAAAAATAGTTCCCAGCTGGGTGCGATGGCTCATGCCTATCATCCCAGCACTTCGTGAGGCTGAGGCGGGCAGATCACCTGAGGTCGGGAGTTTGAGACTAATATGGAGAAACCCTGTCTCTACTAAAAATACAAAAATTAGCTGGGCATGGTGGCGCCTGCCTGTAATCCCAGCTACTAGGGAGGCTGAGGCAGGAGAATTGCTTAAACCCGGGAGGCGGAGGTTGAGGTGAGCCAAGATCGTGCTATTGCACTCCCCGCTGGTCAACAAGAACGAAACTCTGTCTAAAAAAAAAAAAAAAAAAAAAAAAAAAAAAAAAAAAAGTTCCCGCTTAACCTTTTCATAGTGTTTAGACATGGCTTATTAGTTGTCCTTATTTATGCTCTGTTTTGATTTAGTATTGGCTCATATACTATGCTTTATGTCCTCAGATTAGCAATCCTCTTTTGCATCACAGCTCTCACGGTGGCCTTGCTCCAGGATACCACTTCAGGTCTTGTTGCTATTATCCCTACTGTGGATAACAAGAGCGCCATCCTAGCAGATAGGATACTGCCCATCTGAAGCTATTCTCCACCTGGCTCCAAGCCTGAGGGGGGCAGGGGAATTAGGCAGATACATTCAATCAGAGTCATGAAAATCAATTAGACAGCGTTTTAGAGGAGTTGTAAATTGCTAAGGCTTAATTTGGGATGGGGTAGGACTGAGAATAGAAAAGAAGAAAGGAAAGAGATCTTGTGCGAGAACAGGCAGGGAGTTGTTTCAGATTACATCTGGAATAGAGTCAGAGTAACCAAAAATAAATCACATTTGAAGTCCCAAGTGGCACAAACTTTTTGTCACAGTTCCTTGGAAGTTCTACTGGAGGGTTACATATTATGATATAACACTTTACATAGTGCTTGGTATGCAGTAAGTATATGTAATGGGTTTTGCAAGGATTTTATGTTCATGTTTTGTTTTTACTTCTTCCCAGGAGACTCTTGCTTTCGAATCAGTTCATTAATCATTATCATTGTAATCTACAGGATCTAGGAATTAGTATCCTCATTTTGTAAATGAGACTACTGAAGGTGAATGAGATTAAATGACTTAACCAAGGCCTCCATGGTGGACTGTGATTTTGCAGAATGGCAGAGCAAATTCTGTTAGTTCTACACAGCAGATGGGAGATGACAAGGAATTGATGGAATCAAAGACAAAGGTATTGATGCCCACGTTACGTTCATTATTTCTGGTTGAGTTCAGTTACAATGAATTTGTGATGGCAGTTTGAAAATTTACTGTCAGTAACTGCAAACGAAGAAAAATAAAAACCAGAGCATTGTCTTTGCGACTACGCTGGGACACTTTCAGAGTAAGTCCCCAAGATACATGGTCCAAAAAAAATACTGACATCATACTCAGTTGTGATTCTTTGCCTTCTCTTTCTAAGAGAACTTCAGCTGCACGTTGGATGGAAAACTGTACAAAACTAGGGAGACAGAGGAAAAACACCGCTTGTTAATATTCACTGCTAGATTCTGTAGAGGAATCACTTGATTTTACAGATACAACTAGCTTAAGTAGATCTAAAAGTCATGTAGCTACAAAGCTGACTTGCACACTAAAAGCTAATAAAGGGAAATGCAGCTTTCCCAGGGTAGGTTCTTGGCACTTCTCTGCAAATAGGTAAAAGGGAATGGCAGATATTCAAGCTTAGGGAACAAGCAGCAAGGACAGAGCCTTCCCCTGTCTCTGTGTGTTGAAGTCAGCAGATAGCACACCTGCTGCTGCTTGAGTTCCTTCTGCCAAGCAGAGTAGCACAGCTGGAAGACACTCTGCGCCTGGCTCTGAGCTTTGCCTGTCTTCAGGGATGGAGCCCCTCCCAAGGCAAGTTCAACCGGGTTCTTTGGCAGCTGAAGTCTACACGGACCCTGCAGGGAGTGGAGGAGAAAAGTGAGTTTGACATGCTTGGAAATATTTAGATCTTGGATGTAAACTTCAAGGAAAATATTTATTCTGTTTGTTTTAATACCACAGAGGTTTGGATCCCAGGAATCTTCAGACGAGTACAAAAGGCTCTTGCCAAGGCACCAATTTAACAATTTGGTCAGTGACAAAAGGGCATCCTGTTTAACTAGTCTGAATTTAAATAGCATGTTTCCAATGTATTAGCATGTCTGTCTCATTTGTTTACTGCACTGTTTCCTTTAACCCCTGAATCTTGGGTTTGGTTTATGAATTTGCACAGAATCAAATACATTTTTTAATAGAAAGCAAGCAAAAAAGCAGGTTATCACATAGCTGAAAGCATTGCTATTCGAGCATTGACAATAAACTTCCCCTGATTACTTGACCATTCAGAGTGACCAGATCCTCATAGAGGGGTACAAGCTCTCTTTACTCATGGCTTGTGGTGAACATTCCTTACTATCTCTTTGTTGGTGTTGAGAAATACTGCAGAATGCTAAAGGACTATCCAATTGTAGTTTTGGTGAGTGAATTATGATAAAATAGAAGGCTTTTGTAAATGTGACTTGAAAAGTTGCATATTTTGTGTCTTCTCTTTGTGTTTCATGGGGAATCCCCCTGCAGAACATAATTTTCAGGACTCACACTGACCACTGCAAGGACATAGAAATAGAAATTCCATTTGATCCAGCAATCCCATTAGTGGGTATATATCCAAAGGATTACAAATCGTTCTACTATAAGGACACGTGTACACGAATGTTTATTGCAGCACCTTTTACAAAAGCAAGGACCTGGAACTAACCCAAATGCCCATCAACGATAGACTGGATAGGGAAAATGTGGCACATATACACCATGGAATATTATGCAGCCATCAAAAACGATGAGTTTGGGTCCTTTGGGGGACATGGATGAACCTGGAAACCATCATTCTCAGCAAACTGACAGAGGAGCAGAAGATCAAACACCGCATGTTCTCACTCATAGGCGGGTGTTGAACGATGAGAGCACATGGACAAAGGGAGGGGAGCACTACACACTGGGGTCAGTTGGGGGGAAATAGGGGAGGGACGGTGGGGGGTGGGGAGCTGGGGGGGGATAGCAGGGGGAGAAAGCCACATGTAGGTGATGGGGAGGAAGGCAGCAAATCACACTGCCATGTGTGTTCCTATGCAACAATTTTGCATGTTCTTCACATGTACCCCCAAACCTAAAATACAATAAAATAAATAAATGGGGAAAAAAAAAAAAAAGTAATTTTCCATTTTTGTTAGTCTGCAGTAGAGCGGGAAATAGTTACTGTCAAGGGAAGTCTTAAGAAGATGTGTCCGATATGTGCACGGTATATGCACATATCTTGAGGAAAAATAGACAAAAAGCGAAACTGGCATCACAATGATCTCTCTAAGGGCCTATAAGAGAGAAACTGGGACTCCTTCCTGCCTTCAGATAGCACATCAGGCAGAGAAAATATTAACCATTTTTCAACTCTCAGAAAAGTAGATTTTATGATCTCATACAATTTCCTATTCCGATATCGGATTTCTTCCCCATTTTAGCAATTTAAAACAATTAAACTTTTTTTTTTTTTTTTTTTTTTTTTTTTGCTATACTGCCAAGCCAATTTCTCCTATATAATTGTTTTTAGACATGGCGAATGAACAGCTGTTTTTCAATTATTGGACACAGTTGTATTTCAATTCTCTTTTAACAGCTGTGAAACAGAATTCCTATTCAGAATTTTATAACAGTAAACCACACAAAAAGACTGCTGTTGTCTCTCTGCTAATGGAGATTTAGTGTCCCGTTTCTTTTTCAGGACCATTTCCAGATGCTGTCTATTATCTTTTCTCCATATTTGCTTGACTGTTACTACCATGTGTATGATTCCAACCAAGTCTGATGTCTGCTGATTAAACTTTATTTACAATATCTTTGTCAATTTTTTCCTCCATTGGAAGACAAAGTTATCCCGCTTCTCCTAACCAGTTGACAATTAAGTGAAGAAACAATTTTATTACTGAAATAGTCATTCTGTCACTACCAATTATTGTCACATATCTTCTTAGTTGCATATCAATCATAAGAACAATTATAGTGGGAAAAAGCCAAACATGTAAAAACTTATATTTACTAATAAACTAATTTGCATGGGAACCATTAGAGAACTATAGACTCATCTGCTTTATGGCAGCTTAGAACAGAGAGGGATCTACAAGACCAGTTAGTGTAACTCTAACGCCTTTCATCTTGGAGGAAGAAAAACAAGCTACAGTGCTAAAGTATTTTTTCTGTATTCAGATAATGCACCTCTTTTGTAGATTAGGTATCCTACAGTTCAATTTCCCAGTTTTAGTAGCTTCCTTACTCTTTAACAAATGGTAATCTAAAATCAGAGAAAGCGTGGTTCTGAAACATTGGAAGGTAAACTAAGAGAACTATATGTTGCCATTCAGCTGGCTGTAATAATAATTCTCCCACTCTCTAGGCCAGACTGAATTTCCATCTGGTAGAGATTTATGCATTAACTATAATACTTGATTTCCCTCTAAAGTTGAAATCTTCCTGGAAGGTATTAATTTTATGTTATTTAGGCGTTTATACAGAGTATGAACTAACAATCTGAAAGTATGTTTTCATAGGCCGAAAGGAGGAGATGCGTGAGGGATTTATACAATGCCATTTAATTTAAGCTTAATAATACAATGTTAATGGCTATGTATTAGTTTTCTTTTGCTGCTGTAGCAAATTACCACAAACTTGGAGGCTTAAATAATATAGATGTATTATCTTCTAGCTCTTAAGTTACATGTCTGAAGTGTTTTTCACTGGACAAAAATCAAGGTGTTGGCTGGGCTACCTTCCCTTCTGGAGACTCTAAGGGAGAACCCATTCCCTTGTCTTTTTCAGATCCTAAAAATACCTGCATTTCTTCGCTTTTATAACCTGTCTTCCATCTTCAGAGCCAGTAACAGTGAGTTGAGAGTCCTGATATGACATCACTCTGATCTCCTCTGCTGCTCCTTCTTCCACTTTTAAGGACTGTGTGATTACATTGCGCCTACGTGGATAGCCCAGAATAACCCTTTCTTCTAAGATCAGCTGTCAAGCAAACTAAATTCCATACAACCTTAATTTTCCCCCTTCAGCCGTGTAACTTAATATATTCACAAGTTCCAAAGATAAGGAAGTGGACATCTTTGAGGGTGTGTTTTCATTCTGCGTAACACAGCCTGTAAGAGAAAAGCTACAAATATCAGTGGCTTAATTAAATAAAAGTTTATTTCTTATTCACATCAGGAGTTTCTGGAAGAGCAATCTTCTAAGTGACTATTCAAGGACTCGGACTTCTTTCATATTCTGCATCTGCCTTCCTACTGAGCTTGATAGCTTTCCCTGTTCGGTTAATACATGAAGAAAGAGAGCAAGGCTTTTGTGTGTGTGGTTTTATGCGCTCAGTCTTGGAGGCTGGGAAAATTATTTCTACTTATATTTCCTTAACAATAATCAGTTATGTAACTATACCTAAGTACAATGGAAGTTAGGAAATACAGCCTATCTATGTGCTTGGAACATGAAGAAAATGCATTTGATGAAGAGCTAGTCAGTCTGTGCCAATTCTGTTTGTTTGTTCACCAAACATCTATTCCATTTTACCTGCTACACATGAACACAGATGTCCTTTCTGAAAGTGGAAAACTCAGTCCCAACAAGTCATTGCATAAAACTTAAAGTCCAGGATCCTTGAGTGATGCTCATCTCTCCAAACCAGAATTGAAGTAGCTTCTTTATATCTATAAATGATGTATATTTACATACACACACGCACACACACAAACACACACAGGCATGCACATACCATGCAGAGGTGATACATAGATACAGGAAAACATTTTAGATACTTGTTTGGTAAAGGAAAAAATGAGAGGCATGCAGCTGTTACTGGACCATAGCAATTTTGAAATCCTGCCAGGCAGATATTAAAGGTCCTATCATTTGGCTGGAAAAAAATGTTTCATTTATTCCTAAATCATGCTCCCTAGAACCTCCATTCTTCACTCTTCTCCATGGTTACCAATTCCGGCCTCTGAGAGATTCTTTTTTGCCTGTCTTCCCCATGGCCTTCAGGAAGTGGGAGTTGGGGATTATGTTTGGTGCTGATTAAAGTTGGTGGACTCAGCAATAACCTTAAAGCTTAAGAAGTCAGACCTTTAGTCCATGCTGATAGAATCCTTAACAAAACAATTTTCCCCAAACTAATAGGCATCTAAATAGTTTTGTTTCTAGTTAATTCCATGTGCCAAAAACTACATTTGAAGTGTTTTTCATCATGATAGTTCTCATGCCTGATTTATTTTTTTCCTTCCTCACCTATACCCTTCCAGGCCACTCCCAACCTCCCTGAAACTATCTGAAATAATATTTTTGAATACTGTTTCCTTAATCTAATCTTTATGTTAAATTGTCTTTTTTTTCCCCCCAATAATCTTATTTGGTTCTTGTCATTCAGAGCCTTTTTCAATTTATCTTAATTCGGATGCAGAAGCACTTAGGTTTACTAACTCTAAAAGTTATTGATCTCTGGATACATATCCACTTCAATTTCTGCTTCAAAACAAGCCTGTTTTTGTCTGTGCTCATCTCCTTCCTGTAACATATTGCTAAGAAAGGCCAATAGTAGCAAATAGACACTGTTACTCTCATATCAATCTCTTGTCCTAACATCCAAAAACTACAGGCTTATAGGCTCATGAGGTACCTAAGGTGCCTTTCTGTTTAATGTATGAAATGGTTTTGCCACATGTTTTGCCATGAAACAACATGACCTGGACCTTCATTGTTCCAGCCTCATCTATCAGCCTCCACAAAGCTATTCAAAATAATATTTGTGAATACCCATTTCCTTAATCTGATCTTTATCCTAACGTTGTGTTATCAGTTTTCGGATCCTTCCCTTTTCAGGGACAAATAGAAAAAAACAAGGGTCACTTGTGGGATATTATGATAAAATGGGCCTACAATTGATTAACATCTTTTCTGCCTACAATCTGTTCGTCACAATTAAGTCATATGACCATATTTAATTGCAAAATGTAATAGGAAATGCATTTGTGTGTGTGTGTGTGCGTGTGTGTGTGTGTGCGTCCAGTGGGAAATGGCAATGAATTTTATTGCATATTTGCAGTCTCTGTCACACCAAAAAGCACAAAACTAAGTATCTGGATATGCCAAAAGTCAGCTGTATTGTTAGATAGTATTCCTTAGAGCATTAAATTAAACTATTATTGATAAGTTATTGAACATTTAATAGCAAAAGATCTGTTGACAGTATGATATCAATGTGCAGAAATTTTAAAATCTTGAGGCATTCAAAGTATCATATACAAATCAGGGTAATTCATTTACTAGAGCATATTACTGACTACCTGTCATGTATTGGACTTTATGTATGTGCTTTGTAAATAAAATGCACAGGATGGATCTGTAACCTCAAGAAGCTTTCAGTATCCCAGAAGAGGCAAGCATACATACAAGTAACTAAAATGCATTTTTTGTTCTATTATGCAGTTATAAGCATTGTATAGGAGCACAGAAGAGGGAACTACTATGTCCTAGTCTTATTAAGAAAAAAGTAAACAGAGACAGCAAGAAAATAGCAACTATTAAGAATGTTGTGTTTTTCTGTTTTTGTTTGGTTTTACTATGAAAATGAAGTATCTCATCAAATAAGGAAGACTTTATGAGCAGAAAATTATCAAAATACTGAACAGACTGCACTGAAGAAGCAAAACCCAAAGGTGTTCAAAAAGGTCAGTGCTTTGTCTAGTTCAATGTTTTGGGAAAGAGATCTTGAAATCTTAAAATCCAGAATAATATTTAAAGTAAGAAAATAAGCAAAGCCATTTTTTCCTCTTTGGTGGTTGCTATTGTTGACGTTGAAGAGTAACTGGAAAGAATAAGTTAAATGGTCAAAAGTTTGTTTTTGAGATGCCTGCAATATGGCACTTGGGCAACCTCCCATGATGCTAGAGCCCTGTTGGGTCTGACGAAGGCAGACATTCATTAAGCCTCTCACCACCAGCAGTTGGAATCCATCCACTTCATGCGAGTAGACAACCACAAATATTTTATTCCGTATATCAGTACCAGAAGCTAGAAGCATGGAATGCACACAGTGTGCTTTGAACCTCATAATTGTTCCTTGTAATAATAAATTTTTACATTTGAACCTGTGAGTTATCAAGGAAAAAAAAACAAAAAGCCACTTTGGTTAAGGGATAGACTTAAAATAACAGGAATTATGGAAATGGAAAAATACCACTTTTCTTTGTTGGCCCAAGGATTTATGTGTGGGGAAAAAATGATTCAGAGGTGATGGCCTTTCTTGGACATTAACAAACTGTAGTGGAGTTTGCGTCCCTGACAATGGATGGTATGTAAATCCTAACGGTGGTGGGGGTGGGAGGGAGAGGGTGGATGTGGCAGAAAAAGAGAAGCTGAGCTTAGGCAGTTCCATACTTACAAAGGGAGAAGTTGTTTGGATTTTTTTTTTGGGGGGGGGGAAAGAAAATCTATTGTTAAAAGTCACTTCAGCCTTTCCTACAGAGTGAGAATAATTGGGCTTTAAACTATTAATAGAATATGAATATTGATGAAAAGTAAAATATCGTACAAATGACAGTTTTTTTCCAGCCAATTTGTTATACTCAACGCATGCTTATCGCAATCTGAGCTTTATACAAATAAACTTTAGATGGAAAAAAATCAGACATTTAAACATGAGAAATCTCATGACAAAAGAATAAAGAAACAAAGAGTAGAAATTAAAGAAAAAAATTGACAGTTGAAATTTCAATACATTAAAACATTTCTAATGTAAAAAAATTACAGTGATAGTTGTGTCAAATAGGGGATTGAGTTCATCTCTTAATCCCTCATGCAAATTTATAAGAAAATAATTAGCATGATTAACAATAATTTACTGATCAATATTACAGTAAATGTATAAATGGGTAAATAAAAATAGCAGATATGCTAATGGAAACTGTTTAATTATGCTAATAATAAGAAAGTATCATAAATTAGGGTCCTATTTCCTATGTTAATTATAGTTAACACAGAAAGAGAATGTTTAAAGCTAGAAAGAGTATCATGGTACTGATTCTCCTTCATTGTTGATGATATTGTAAATTGGTAAACCTGTTTTAGAATGCAACTTGAAAATGTGTGTATTTGTTGATTGAATAACTGAATTTAGTGGGTGAAATTGTGAAATGATTGTATTTTTCCTCAGCAACAGCCTGTTAAATTCTGTGTTGAACTTTCTATCCTTGCCCCTGCACAAAAACTTCTGATAACTAATCTTCAGGTTACCAGTAGAGCTGATGTACAAAAGCCTAGTCAAACTTAAGAAACAAAACAAAACCAAAACACAAAATCTTTCATTGTCTCATTCTCTTTTAAGCTTCTTTCCTGGACTCCTGATGTGGGACTGGGAAAATTATAGTAAGGAAAACAGATACCCATTATTTTTCCACTTTATCCTTTCTTCTTCCCTTACTCAAGATGTTATTTCTTGACCACCCTCTTGGTGATGTTGGGTGGAAAAGAAAAACAAGGTTTGAAAAGTTGCATATCAATCAACACAGTAGTAATCTAGAGCCAGGCGATACCTAAATGCTGTCTTCCCACTGAGGATATTTTTCAGGTTCTTCTAAAAAGCCAGTGAAAACAATCCACTATACTATTCACTGACTTGGGCAGTGCCCCAACTAGCTAGCTATGAAACAAGGGTTGAAAAGTTATTTATCGATCAATGGCATCCACTTGAACCCCTGCTTCTTGGGTAATCTTCCAATAGCCTCTTAGTTCTGTCGTCTGCTAGCCCTTGCAGGTAAGCCACATATTGGTATCCTTTCCAGGATATGTGCCTCACTACCCTCTGGAGTGTCCACACTGGCTCTACTTTTTCTCCATGTTCAGCCATCAGGACTATTTCCAGCCAATCTCCTGTCTTTATATTTTGCAGGTGAGAGCTGGCCTCTTTGCTTTTTAAATCCCTCATATATCAAGTTCTAAGTTCCCTCACTTGGCCTGAGGTTAGTTAAGAAAGTATGGAGGAAGGAAAGAGAAATGCTGAATAATACTGACAATTGTTCCAAAAAATAATTTATCAATTCTCCTAATGAATGCTTACCTTTTGTTACATAAGGGAAGGTAGGTGATGGACTAAGAGAGGCTGAATCTGTTTTGTGAAAGCCCTTTTGTAGCTCACATTGAAAAGATCAGGCATCTCTCTTCAGAAGGTAACAGTAATTGTCACATATACTTTTGATCTTTGAAATCCTAGCCAAAACTGAGACAATGGAAAAGTCACATTTAGATGTTACACATTTAAAAAAATCTTCAGAATTTCCAAACCTTTTAGCCTATAGGGGAAGAAAACAGAAACAAGTAAATGATTTTAAAGCTGGATTCATTAAGATAGTAATTATAGTATTAATTTGAAAACTATAAAATTTGAAAATGGGAATTTGAAAGTAGTCCAATATCTCATAATAGGAGAATGGTTAAGAAAGTTAGGAAATATCTAAATTAAAGAAAACCAACCTGCTAAAATAACAAGCTACGTTCTTGTGTAGAACATATAATTCAGCATTGAGTTGGAAAAACAGGACATAAAATTTTATTTACGCTATGTTTACAACTATGTAAGTCACATATTTAAGAGGCTTGGGACAGGAAATCAAACAATTAGTTGTCTGTCACAGCCCTGGGACTTGGTAGCTCGGTAACCTTAAAGACATTATTTAAAGTCTCCAACTCATCTCTCTAAAAAGAAGATAATAGTTTCTATTGTTTCCGTAGGACTTACATGTGCTAAAGCATTGTCTGGCACTTAGTAATTAATTTTAAAGCTCTATTAAAAGACAAAGGAGCACACAAAAATGAAAACAGGAGTGATGTTAAAATTATTTAAAATCTCTTTTACATTATTTTAATCTTCCCATAGTGCTGTTATATTAATTCCATAATTAAAAACAAACTTAAAAAGCTAAACAGTAGGGGGGTCAATATATTGGTGACACCACCCTACAAACATTTAGGACATCTAAATAGGAGGCTGTACCAAATTGAGGCTTACTCACATTTCATGGACAAACTTGTTTTCCCAAGATATTGTGTTAACTAATCTAAAAAATGACTGTTCATTCTAATCAATTGGCATTCTCTAGTAACCTTTGTATCACCTGGGTATCATTGTCATAGATTTTAGACATACATTACAGCAATTTACCTTGCTTTCTTTGTAGTCCATTTCTGTCAAATCACAAAACCAAAAAAAAAAATATTTCAGAAACAAACAAGGGCTATTTTCCAGTTTATGAGCACTTAGATAAAAAGGGGAAAATCACAATCCCCTAAAGTGGGCTTAATTCAAACAAGAGAATATACCTTGCAAACCTTTTGATAATTTTTATTATAGTTTTTAATGCGCTCTATCTAGACTATAATCTGCAAATGAATTGGGTATTAAAGTAAGCTACTTTTAAAAGTTTGCAAATAAAATCTCTCCCTATATATTATCACTCTTTTATTTGCTCTTATTTAGGCTAATAAATATGAAAACGTTATGTGCATTATTTCAAACCAATAAGAGAGTCAAAAGGAACTTTTAAAAACAATGTAAAGTTCGAAAATTAAAATTGCTTCCTCTAGTGGGTTTTGGACAAGAACATTGACTATATCCCAGAAATATATAATTGATTCACCTAAGCTTATTTCTTAAAGACTAAGTAAAACTAACATTTACTTATGTACTTCTCATATGGCTTTATGCTCTTGCTTCTAATGATAACTTAAAACAACTTTTAAAATACATATTCTCAGATTTGAGGTGAAATCTGAACAAGTGCATCAACATGCCTTTCTTCATAGTTATATGTGGATAAACAACTAAGAATAAGCCACAAAATAAAAACATTTTAAATACAATATTTGAGGATTTTCTTCCATTAACTCTTTATAACTTAAAAGATGGTGAATTTTGGCTGGAACCTTGTGGTCAACTATTTAAAAATAAATATAGAATTGGAGGTAGCAAGTAATTGACATTTCTGATTTTTGGAAGTTGGAGCTCAGTGGTGTGTCCATCAAGTCTTGCTAGAAAACAATAAGATATGAGTGTCATACAACTATACACACTGGTTTTTGACTTATGGCAGCTGGGTGGGAAGGGTACATCTGGTTGATCTTGGCTGACTACGATCAGCTGGTCTTAGGCTTCAGCCATCTATCCAGATCAGTTTTGCTCCAAGTGTTCTCACCTTTTGAGACTAGTAGGTTGGATGGGAAATGTTTTCTTGATGTGGGATGAAAGGTCCCAAAGACAATGAGAGGAAAAAAAAAAAGGATGCCTCTTAAGACCTAGGCCTGGAACCTAGGTCATTCCCACCCCATTAACTAAGTTACATGCCCATGTGTTGCTAATGCCAATTCCTCTCAGAGAGATAAGAAAGAATGAAGTGACCATTCCTGAATAACAATTTAATCTCACACAAGTGATACGTATTGTACTTCATGATCCTACAATGTTGTTATAAACACTTCCACCCAATGACTGAATTATCCTGCTTCTTTTATCTTCAATGTCTCTTCCTTCTTCTCTAGTTTCTTGGGTTATGAATACAACACATCTCCCTTCAACTATTACAATGATCTCCTTCCCTATGCCTTCATGGACTTAACCTTCATCTTCTAAAATACTTCCATTGTTAACTCTGTAATGTAAAATTGGGGCATATCATTCTATTCCTCATAATTCAATAACTCCTTATAATAGGTGGGCAAATTTTCTTGAGGTGGAATAGGTGACCTGGTCAAGCTAACTTATACATGGATAAATGACTAAAAAATAACCCCCAAATAAAAACCTATTACATTTAATATCTGAGAATTTTCTTCCATTAATTCTTTATTTACTTAAAAGATGATGAATTTCATCTGGAACCTTGTGGTCAACTATTTTAAAATAAACATAGAGTTGGGGAGAGTTGGTCATTGATATTTCAGATTTTTAGGAATTGGAGTTCAGTGATGTATTATTTTGTTTTCATACACTATATAGAACTGCTGGAGACTGGATAATTTACATAGGAAAGAGGTTTAATTGACTCACAGCATGGCTGGAAGGCCTCAGGAAACTTACAACCATGATAGAAGATGAAGAGGAAGCAAAGCACCTTCTTTACAAAGTGGAAGGAAGGAGAAGTGCTGAGCGAAGGGGGAAGAGCCCCTTATAAAATCATCAGATCTTGTGAGAACTCACTTACCATCATGAGGACAGCACGAGGGAAACTATCCCCATGATTCAATTTACCTCCACCTGATCTCTCCCTTGACATATGGGGATTGTGGGGATTATGGGCAAATAAAAGAGTGACAATTCAATTCAGGGATTACAATTCAAGATGAGATTTTGGGTGGGGACACAGCCAAACCAGATCAAGTGTTATATCAATCAAGTTTTGCTAGAAAATAGTAAGATCTGAGTGTCATATCGTACAACTATAAGCATTGATTTCTAATTTATGGCAGCTGGGTTAGAGCTTCTGCTTTAATTTCTGCATTACATTTTAGACATCCATGATTCTCTCATGATCTCATACACCTTGATGCCCCTGTCTCTGCAATATTGTCTATCTGTAGTGTCTTCTTCCAATGGCCCATGAGTCAAAGTACTCCTTATCCTCCAATTCTACCTCTTGTCTGAAACTGAACCAGTCAGGAAAAACTAGGTTAGGAACCAAATGACCGTGGCTTAAAACCGCAAACATGTATTTCTTGCTCACACTACATCTCCACTGCTGATTGGTTTTAGAACTCTTTATTTCAGGACCCAGACTAATGGAGTGACTCTTATCTATCTATTTCACCATAGGGAAAATAATAATATTGAAGCATGTGCTAGCTCTTAAAACTTGTATTTGCTACTACCACACTCATATTTCATTGGCTAAGTCAACTCACATATACATGTCAGAATTCAACAGGATGAAGGTGTAAAACTCTTCCTCAAGAGGGAAGGACACTTCAATGTGATCCGGTAAATAGTTTGAAGAGTGTCAAAATCTACCACAGAAGTGGCCCTTTTGTCTTTCTGTTAAATATTTATTTTACTATGTTACAACAATAATTAATATAACTATCACTTATTGAAATATCTATTTGTTTGATATCTATATATCTTTATTGATCACTCAGTTTACAGAGTACTTTTTCTACTTCCCACATAACTTCAGGCAAAAGCATTACTAAATTTTCTCCTATAACATAATGAGATCCCTTTCTCCAGTTTCTAACATTTACGTCATTCACCTGTGAGCCCTCACCTGTAGTTTTAGGAAAACACTATTGACAGTGTGTTCCAGGCACTACAAGCCATCACTAACACTTTTCTCAAACTCCATTGCTCAGTTCTAAAGCCACTCCCACATTGTGAGTTGCTATTTTGCTACCATCTCACTGTTAATATTAGCATATGATAGTTACATATTGCTCTGTAACAAATTACTATAAAACATGGCAGCTTAAAACAACAAACATTTATTACTATCAGTTTCTGAGGGTCAGGAATCCAGGAATGGATTGCCTGGCTGATTCTAGCTCAGTGTTTCTTGTGAGGTTGCATTCAAGCTGTTACCGGGTTACAGTCATCTGAAGGCTTAACTGGGGTTGGGAGATCTGCTTTCAGTATCACTCATGGGGTTGTTGGAAGCCCTCAGTTTCTGCTGAGTGTTATTCGGAGGTTCCAGTTTCTCACCACATGGGGCTCCCCACAGGGCTGCCTGAGTGTTTTCAAGACCTGGCAGCTGGTTTCTCCCAGAACAAGAAATCAAAGAAATCAAAAGACTGAAGAGAGAAGCTTCAGTCTTTTATAGCTTAACGTCAGAAGCACCTACCATCAATTCTGCCGTATTCTATTGGTCACACAAACTGTGATACAGTATATGGGAAGACTATACAATACTAGGAGGTAAGGATAATTGGGAAAACCATTTGGTAGACTGGCTTTGACAAATAGTATTTTTTTCAACCTTGAAAATCCAGAGCTATTAGAGAAAAAAAAATAACTTCAATGTGACTAGTTCAGTTAACTATTTATATAGTTATTCAAAAAAAATCTCTTTTACCTGTGTACTAGCCCCTGGGATAGTTGCTGGCTACATAGAAACGAAAATGTTTTTTTCTTTGAAGAGCTTACAAACTATTAAGGAAATAGACATACACAGTTATGTATCACATAATTTTTTTCATCAGTAATAAACTGCATATAACTATCCCATATCACAGTGATCCCATAAGATTACAATACTGTATTTTTACTGTACTTTTTCTATGTTTAGATACACAAATACTTACCATTGTGTTATAATTGCCTACAGTTTTAAGAATAATAATATGTTATACAGGTTTATAGCCTAGAAGCAACAGACTAAACCATATAGCCTAGGTTTGTGGTAGGCTATGCCATCTGGGTTTTTTATGAGTACACACTATGGTGATTAACAACATCATTGCCTAATGATACATTTCTCAAAATGTATCCTTATCATAAAGGGATGCACCATTGTACAGAAGTTAAAAATTGCTTTATACATTAATTGTTGTAATGGAGTACATACATATAATGAGAGTCAAAATTATAAGTGGTTAAAGACTTTGACTTTTGGGGTCAGATCACAGAATTTTGATTCTGTTTATTAGTTGTAGTACCTTTAGCAAATTACTTTGTCTTTTGTGACTCAGTTTCCTCATTTATTAATACAGAAAATAATAGTGTTTTCCCATAGGGTTGATACAAATTTTAAATGACTTCTACACATACAGATATAAAGGCAGGTACGTAGGTAGGTAGGTAGGTAGGTAGGTAGATAGGTAGATAGATGATAGATGATAGAAGATAGATCAATCGATAGATAGATAGAAGACAGATAGACAGATAGATAGATATGCTTGCAGATAGGTGAGTCAAAAGTTATTTAAATTTGACAGAAGGGATACTTTTGTCATGCAGTGATAGCAAATTTAGAAACAATTTGCAGTTACGTGTAAAGTAGAATATATGTGCAATAAATTGGATGATCTAGCTAAGTTATGACAATGATGATGTCAATTGCATGCATGAATGGAAGAGGATACAAAGGCAGTTTTAGATAAAGAATCTCATCATTTATTGAAATAGGCATTTCCTATTTCTTGCTTATTCTCAACATTTGAGCTTATAATGGAGAATCAAAGAGGAATTTTTTTTCTCTTTGTAAAAATAATGCCTTTAATTATCTGAAGAATATAAATGTGAAATGGATAATTTACTGTGTGGATATTTGTACCTGTCAAGGTAACAGAATCTGAATATGATTGAAAATTAGCCATATAAAAATTCTAGTCTTTCTTATTGCCACCTAGCCTGGTTTGGCCAAGACTGTCATAAAAAGCTAGAGATATTGCATAGTCATTGCGATAATCTCTTCTGGTGGACTATTTGCATGACCTTGGTTATGAGGTCATGAAATGTGCTAGAGTTGGTGGAGAAAACTTGTGCCTTTGAAATTTAAGAGCACTTTTTATTCCCTCTGGTAATTTTTCTGAAATTCTGTGAGTAGGACTTACCTAGCTTGATTCTTCATTATTTGGAAATCCTGAATAGTTTTTCTTGGAAGTAACCAGATGGAAAAAATTAAAAATGTTTCAGAAGAACTATTAATGCTGGGTATTTTTTTTTCCTGGAAGCATTTTATTTTTATTTAGACTTAGATTAAAAACTTTATGAGATTAAAGTTAGCTGATCCAGTATGATAAAAACTGTTTTTACTAGAATTTCAAACCACAGCTATTTGCATCAGTGGGCTTGACTCTGTTTTTAATATTTGTCTTTACCTTTCTTGCACTTTAAGAAGATAACAAAATAAAAGCATTTTACTGCAATTTTGCTTCAAAGGATGTGTTATTGTTTTAAAAAATAACATGTTCTGAGGAATGTTTTAAGGAAGCACTGACACTGTCTCCAGAATCTTTTCATAGAGAACATTTAGTCCCATTCTTATTACCCTTAATAGTTGTTCCTTTTTAAAGAACAAGTACTGAATGTATGATGGGGACTTCCCAGAGAAAGACTAGGTTCTATTACTGAGTTTCTGCAGGAAAAAAAAAATCTATAGGAAAATAATGAGTAAACCCAAAGGAATTCCATTTTTGAAATAATATTTTTTAAACACATGCTATAGTCCTAACAATAATTAGAAAAAATTTAGATGTTGAAATTCTCAAAATCCACAAATGGAAAAGCATTTTGTAAGATTTTAATGGTGCGGACAATGCTGTGGATTGTACAAAGAGAGAGTAGGCTTCTGAAGTCCAAGGAGAGAGCCAAGTAATTGGATGTTCTGTGATGTGATTTAGTGCCTCCACCAGAACAAGGCATCCAGGAATTAGTGTTTCCCTCTTTTAGTTTTACAAAGAATAATTTGTGGTGTAAAAAGTAGAGACTTTGGAATAAAGCAGACCTGGGCACCACTTATTAACACCTTCAACTTCCGCAGACTTCTGAATCTCCCCAAACATCTGTTTTTTCACTTCTGAAACAAGGACAGAAATTCAAGGGATGTTGGGAAGTGAAATATCCACAGGACTCACCAAGGTTAGTGGCCTTCTACCTGCTACTGGCGTTTGTATGTGTTGTTAGGTTTATATTTAATTTCTTAATGTAATTCACCAGAAGGCTACAGTTTTCTCCATATACAAACAAGCTCCACAATGATATAGAAAACTTTTTATCCTCTTTGAAGAAGACAAAGGTCTTAGAAGGGTAATGTTAACCTGTTTGAAAGTAGCTATGGAATAGTGGAAAAAGAAATACTCATGCAATTTTAACCCAAGACTTAGCCTGTCACCCTAAGCTGTCAGATCCATGGCTTCCGCCTTTATGTGATGAATTTAGTGAGGTAAATTATTCAAAACATAGCAGATGCTCAATAGAAGTCCATTATGAAAAATAAAAATAAAAGTGAACCATAACTAACTGAAAATGAAGGATGCCTGCTCTCCTCATGCATTTTTAGCATAAGGTAAACAAAGACACCTTAGAACCATGGGGCGTCCATGCTTTTTCCCCTGTTTTTATGTATATATAACAAAAAATGAAAGGAATGTTGCCATAAATCATTTTCTCTAAGTACGCTTTGTTACAGCAGCTTTACCAATTAATTCTGCCACAACCCAATATGTGTGAAGTCTTCTGTTCAAAGCCTTTGAAACAATCAAGTGTGTCACAACATGTTTTATTTCTCTTTTCAAGTTCTGCACATAAGTCCTGATCTGTTTTCTTTTGGTTAGCATGTTGCTGCAGAAAGTGCTTTATCAGCCTCCTGAGCTTCAATATCAGACTGAATGTGCTGTTATGCTTTTGGAAAGATGACAGTAGCTCTTAAACAGCTAATGGTATGTGATTTTGATAAATTTCAGGACTGAAAGTGTGTTAGCATAAACCATTCCCACACATTCGGCTGGTGCTCCTGTGACCGTGCCCTGAGACCAAAGACATATTTTTGAAAGAAATTATATGGTCCCATGAGGGGTAACCAAGATGGTTATTCAAGTAACCACCTCAGAATGCAGTTTATGCTAGAGCATCATTATTAGATTGTCTGCCTCTTATGTGAAAGGACTTTAATGGGTGGTTTGAAAAATGTATTCTGATTATTTTTCAGTCAATGAAAATCAGTAACCAAGATACAAATGATACAGCAAAGATTCTTTAGAAATAAATTAATTAAAATAACTGTGAATATGATCTTTGTGTGATTAAATATTTCTAACATGAATGTTCAGTTTTATATTTCCTCAGATTTCAGTAATGAAAAACTTTTATTGTCTTTTGATTTTATTGTCCTTCAAATTTTATATGTCTTTCAAAGTCAGTCAACACTGACTTTGTTCTGAGCCTTGAAGGTCTTGTTTGGTGTGCTGCTTTGAAGTTTGAACGAAAAGAAACCAATCATTGTAAACCAATTTTCATATATTATAAGATACAGTATTATCTGTTCCTTAAGTTACTCACCATGTTCTTTGTTCTAAAATTCTTTGGGAGCATAGTATCATTTTTAGTAATAAACAAAGGTAAAGAGAGAAGTGACCACACCAAAAAATAGACAATTACTTGTTTACAAGGTTTACTAAATTTATTTATATTATTTTCGTCTTGCAGTTTTTTGTTTGCTTTGTTTTAATTTGTGTATAAAAGCGGAGAACTCATACCATGACTCATAGTTTCAGATCACTGCATTCCTGCAATTCCCAATCTCCTACAGCAGTAAAACTCCTAATATTGTATTTACAGTTGAATTTTACCCTGATAATATAGACTGTGACTATAGTGGCTGAAAATGGAACATTCGTACAGTTAATTTAAGTCCAGAGACAATCAATCAAGTAAAAAGTATAGTCCAATCATTATTATCAGGTGAACTAACCTGTATATTACACATTTACAATGCCAAAAGTTTAGATGGAATAAGGGGAACACATAGACAAAAGGAATCAGTCCAGCTAAAATGATTATTTACAAAGATTCATCCTCAGAGATATTTGGCCCAATTCATTGATGGGCATGTTCAGCATCCCCAGATATTTAATGCAAGAAGGCCTGGTTTTCTTTTTTGATGCTATTTTTTTAGGAATTGGCATGTTCAGTTAAAAAAATCCAAATTTTAATATTGGAAAAGTAAATCAAATTGGATAGGTTCCTGGAACTATTCTCTATGCAGCCTCAATATTCAGTGAGCCTGGATGAGGTGAGGCTTACACTGACCTTCAAAGTTGGAGACAAGTTCCCTACGCTTCCACATGAATAATGATACCTGGAATCAGAGAAGTTACAAAAGAGAGACATTATCTGTGTAAGTATCTGTACAAGGTTTCAAGAACATCTGGTAGTTTCTAGCTTTTCTTCCCTCACATTGTTGTCCCAGTATATTTTCTTTCAATGCGGAAACACCTTAGATTATAGACTGATGACAGTATGAAAGCTGTTCAGAACTGTAAATAATGATTTTCCATGCTGCTGTTTTTTTTGTACATATATGTGATAAGGCTGAGAGGAAACAATTAAAAATAATGTCTATTTTATGGCAACTAAGTTTGCAGTCTTTCAATGTAGCAACTCCTGCAAAACTTGGAGAGGCATTCAAAAGACTCATAAAGTGCCCTTAAATCTCAGTTTGAAAGTGAATGCATTTGTAGCCTTTCCGTTTTTGCCAGAACAAACAAACAAAAAAGTCCTGAAATGTTTGCCATTTTTTTTTTTCCCCTCAGATGAGAGGTATAATGTCCTAGTTGCTGAGGTCCTCTGGAAATTATTGAGATAACTTAAAATGTTCTTATTCTCCCTCATTTAGGAAATTAAATAAACAAGCATATCTTTTAAGATGTGGCAGTGGGAACATGGATGTGTTGACTAATCTTTTGGAGAAGTGACGTGGAAAGTGTGTTCTTTATTCAGCGGCAGGTATCTGATATTTTCCCTTAAATAAACTCAGCCATAAACTTAAGACTTCTTAAAAGTTCATCTGTATGCCTGTCCAAATGATACATCTAAATCAAGATTTTTCAGTCTTGACTTTATTGCCATTCTGAGTCAGAATATTCTTTATGTGAATGAGGGAGTGTCCTGAGCACCGTAGAAGGTTTAGAGGCATCCTTGGCCTCTGCTGACTAGATGCCAGTGGCTTCTCCAAGTCCCACCTCAATCATGACAGCCAACAATGTCTCCAGACATTACCAAATGTCCCCTGGGGGAAAAATAGCTCTTGGATCAGAATCATTATTGTAAACCTTGCAAAATAATAATACTTTACTACTTCTAAGCCTTAATATGTTAGTTATCTAGGATATATGGAGATATATATGTATTTATTTATTTATATTCTTTTATATATAGTTTTTGTCATTCATATGCAATTCTCTAAGCTCCTTGGTCTATTACAAGAAACTGAAGATTGACTTAAAAGTAATTTTCTTCTCTATTTTACAACTCTTGCAACATACCCTGTGTGTCTGTTATATTTTGAAAACCTATTTTAATATGTTGGCTGTCTGTTCATTATTGATAGAAACAATTTCTTGCCTTTCTACCTCACTCAGGGGATCTCAGATATTAGTTTGGGAACAGTATTTTGCTGGGCTAGCTTCATGTGTGATCATGTCACTATTTAAAAATATATTTGCTAGCAGTACAGTCTTATGTACAGCTGTCTTCAAGAGCTAGCCAACAACTATCTCATCAGAACGGGTTTTTCGTCTTCTTCTTCTAATGCCTTTTTTTCTTCCTTCCATGCTATAGGTATATTGATCTTGAGAAGAGGACTTACCCTTCACCTGGAGCAATAGTTAGGAAAGCAATATGTGAAAACAAAGTCACGAATTTGACAAGAAATGTACTTAAGGTATAAGAATATGGAGTTGCATTTTTATGATGTGTTAGAAAAATTGTCCTAAAAAAATCAAGTTCTGGAAGCCAGCCATTTTTCACTTTGTGGGGAGCGTGCCATGCAAAAGATCTCCTGATTTTAGGAAATCACACAATGACCTATATTGTCCTGGTTGTCTACTGAGGAACATGTACCCTGCTTCAGTCTAAGAAAGAATGTTAAATTAAGGCAGCCACTTTCTCTTGGCCAAATTACATTCTTTATAGTCTCCCAAGTGTTATATTTAATTTACATTTGAAATAGAAAAGATGTGAACATAGACTTTGGCTCACAAATTATGTCAGCTTTCTGAATTCAGGGGAATATGCTTATTGAAGCAGATGTTTTTGAATATTATTTTATTACTAAAATTTCCACAAATATAAATCATTTAAAAATATGTGATTTAAGAGTTTAATAACCTGAAAATAACCACCCAGAAAAGTTTTGGTATCTTTCCTCAGCATTTCTGATCACATATTTTCAAGAAAGCATTGAAATTTTTATCAAAGCTTCGCATGTAGATAATCTCTTAAAAGTTCAAATCTCTTATAGAGTGTAAGAAAGGAATTTTTTGACTTCAATTTAAATGGTATTCTATGCTCTTTACAAGCCCCTAAATATTTGAAAACTCTGAAAGATGCAAATGGAAATTTCCTATAAATCCCTATTTTATTCAAAGATTGAAGCCCTATTACCTCACTTAGAACAAATTTCATCCATTAACAACTATCTTGCAGTTAAACGGAAGCTAAATGTAAGTAACGTACTAACAAGGCTAATTATGTTCAGGTGTATGGATGGTTTACCATAAAATTCACAACAGAGAACACTGTGTGGGTAAGGAATACAATTCCTTTTTGAAAATAATGTTGTACATGTATATATTTTCCTTCTCTTTTCACATGCACTGTTTAGATTGTATACATGGGGAGATGAATATATGTCTTTCTTTGCACTTTCTGGATGATAAATTAGAAAGGAAGAATCCAAAGAATGCAGCCATGCTATTTGTCCTCATTTCTGATCTGGGAAACTAGAGGAAATTAAGACGGTTACTATTGTTATCATTTTTTCCACCCAAACCCTAGGAAATAGGAATTTAAAGTCATTAAATGTGTTCTCTGTAATCAACAAGTTATAAAGTTATTTTTATTAATCTTCTTGAAAATATAAATATAAGCCAGAGGTTCTTATTCATGGCTCATTTCTAGGGATTTCCTAAGACCACCAAGCACGCTGAAATCCATATAGTTAATAGGTTCCATGTAATCTGCCTGCATTGATTAAACAAAACCCATTCATTTAAACTTTATCAATTATTTTTTATCCTTTACCATATCCCAGAAACTGGACAAGGGACCCAGAATACAGAAGTGAAAAAGATTATTTAGACAGCAGTAAGTTATATAAGGTAAATTAAACAAGGCAATGGGATAGAAAACAATGACCAAGATGTAGAGAAGACTTTGGATTGAGTTGTCAGGGCATGACACTCACTAGAGAGATTCCATTTGAGCTGAGATGTAATAAAAGTGATCCAAACATGTTGATTTAGGGAAAAACTACTTCAGGGATTGTAATCATAAAGCTCCTAAGATAGGAGTGAGCTGGGTGACCTTGATTTAGAGAAGAAAATCAAGGTATGTAGACTCTAGGAAGCAAGATTAGGTGCTGCTAAGCACTGAATTGTGTTTCTTAAAAATGTATATGTTGAAGCCCTAACCCCCACTGTTACTGCATGAGAGATGTGGACTTTAAGGGGGTAATAACGATTAAATGAAGACTAACGGCAGGGCACTAAGCTGATACAATAGGTGTTCTTATAAGAAGAGACACCAGATTCTCTTTCTCTCTCTCTCCCCCTCTCTCTCTCTCTCTCTCTCTCCATGCTCAGAGAAAAGACCATGTGAGGACACAGTGAGAAGGAGGCCATATGCAAAGCAGAAGGGAAGACCTCACCAAAACCAAAACCCAAACCTGCTGGCACCCTCATCTTGGACTTCTAGCCTTTCTCAGAACTGTGAGAAAACAAATTTCTGGTGTTTCAGTCACTCAGTCTGTGGTCATTTGTTATGCAACCCTAGCAGACAAACAGGGACCTAACTTAAGAACTGGTTAAAAATGAGGCCAGTTAGGAATTTGATATGCTATGGCTGGGAAGGTTTGATTTATTCTAAGTGCAATGGAATGGAGCTGGGGATATAAATTTGGGATTTATTGGCAGGTGAAACATATTTTAAAATAGACAAATTAAATTTCCTAAGGACAGAATGTAGATAGAAAAGAATCAAGATTTTATGACAAAAATCCAAGTCATTCCAATATCAGAGTTCTCCCAAACATTTAAAGAAGGCTTACCCTGATTCTATATAGCATCTTCCAAAAATTAGAAATTCTTTACAGCATCTTTCCAACTCATTTTACGAGGCCAAAATTACCTTGATATTACAACCAAAGAGACTACAAGAGAAAAACTACAGATCAATATCTCACATGAACTTAGACATAACATTTTTAAACAAAATATTAGCAACTTGAATGCATAATTCTTTTTTTATGTAAGAATTACATAATTACATAATTCTTACTATGTAATTCTTATAATATAATTATGTAATTCTTATGTAAAAAAGAATTGTGCACCATAGCCAAGTGGGATTTATTCCAGATATGCAAAGCTTTTAAATATTTGAAAATAAGTCAATATAATCTACCATATTAACAGGATAATCACATGATCATATCAGTTAATAAAGATCAAATCCATGATAAAATTCAACATCTATTTATAATTTTAAAGAATCTTTCCAAAAATAAGAAACAGAGGGGAATTATCCTCAAATTGATAAAGTTCATTACAGAAAACACAAAAGATAGCATTATACTTAATGGTGAGAATCTGAATTAGTTCCCCCTAAGATCAGGACCAGGCAAAGATGTTTGCTAGCATCACTCTTATTCTACATAGTGCTGTAAATTCTCACTGGTGCAGTGCAATGAGGCACACAGTGTAAATAAAGTCACTGAAATTAGTTTTAGTTAATTCTGTGTTGCTATAACAGAATGCCACAGACTGGATAATTTATTAAGAAAAATGTTTATTTCTTACAGTTTTGGAGGCCTCAGAAGTTCAAGGTGCAGGGACCCACATCTGGTGAGGGCCTTCTTGCTGCATCAACACATGGCAGAAGGCAGAAGCGCAAGGGTGCAAGAGAGAAAGAAGGATGGGGAAGGGATTATATGAAGGGGCCAAACTCATCCTTTTTATCCAGAACCCACTCCTGAGATAATTACATCATTCCTGCAATACATCATTCATTAATCCATTCAGAGCCCTCATGACCTAATCACCTCTTAAAGGTTCCAACACAAAAACTTTGGGGGATGCATTTGGGGGATTAAGGTTCTAACACAAAACTTTGGGGGATGCATTCAAACTCTTGCTAGTTTGAACAGAAAAAAATTTAACTGTTTCTATTTCAAATGACATAATTGTATACATAGAAAATACCAGGCAATCTTTTAAAAACTGCTAGAACTAATAGATTAGTTTAGCAAGATCATAGGATACAAAACCAACACACAAAAATCAATCATATTTTATATGCTAACAATGAATATGTGGAAAATGCAATTAAAAATACAAGATTATTTGCAATTATTTCAAAAAGAGAGAAATAATTAGGTACAAATCTAACAGTACACATAGGTTCTCTATGCTGCAAATGACAGGACACAAAGGAACAAAAGCAAAGGACATTTAAATAAATGGAGAGATGACCTTGTAATGGATAGGAAGATTCGATATAATAAAGATGTCAATTCTCTCCAACTTCATCAACAGGTGGAATTCAATTCATATCAAAATTCCAAAAAAAATTTTGCAGATATAGTGAAATTTATTTTAACATTTATATACCAAGGCATAGGCCATGGACTAAGATAATTTTGAAAGCGAATAAAGTGAGATGGATTATTATATCCAAAGTTAAGACCTACTATATGGCTGCAATAATAAAGAGAGTGTGATACTGGTCAGGGGATAGACTCATAGATCAATGGAACAGAACAGAGAGCCCAAAAGTAAACAGCACAAATATGCCCAGCTGATTTTTGGAAAGGATATAAAAGCAGTTTGGTGGAAGAACAGTTCTTTCAACAGATGATGTCAAAGCAATTAGATATCCAAAGGCAAATAATTGAGTCTCAACCTAAACCTAATACTTCATTTAAAAATGCATTCAAAGTGTATTGTAGATTTAAATATAAAATGTAAAACTAAAAAACTTTAGCATAAAGCAAAAAAAAAAATTTAGGAAGTAGGGCTAGATGAGAAGTTTTTAGATATAGCACCAAAAGCACTACTCATAAGAGAATATAATTACTATATTGGACTTCATAAAAATTAAAAACTTTTTCTCTAAAAAAGACTACATTAAGAAAATGAAAAGTTAATCTACAGACTAGAGGATATTTGCAAATCACAAGATTCAACATAGGACTTCTACTTAGAATATATAAAGAACTCTCAAACTGAACATTAAAAGAAGGCTGGTCTGAAGATAGTGAATTATCTTAATTGATTGTTCACAGTTCATTTCATACTCTTTGTTCCGCTCTTTCCCTCCTTCTCACTGCCGAAGTTGACTAATTTTTTAAAAAAAATTAAATTAGAAAATTCCTAATCAAAATGAACAAAGGGTTTTTAACTGGGGAGGGATGATATCTCATTTTAGTTTTGATTTGCTTTTCTCAATAATCGATGATACTGAATGCCCTTTTATATGCCTGTTTGACATTTGCATGTCTTCTTTTGAGCTATGTCTATTCAAATCTTTTGCCCATTTTAAAATCAAATTATTAGATTTTTTTTCCTGTAAAATTGTTTGAGCTCCTTCTATATTCTAATCACTAATCCCTCATCAGATGCGTAGTTTTCAAATAATTTCTCCCATTCTGCACATTGTATCTTCACTTTGTTTATTGTTCCCTTCATTCTGCAGAAGGCTTTTTAACTTGGTGTGACCCCACTTCTCAATATCCAAAAGACAGGTAATAACAAATGCTGGTGAGGATGTGGAAAAAAAGGGAACCCTTGTACACTGTTTGTGGGAATGTAAATTAGTATAGCCACTCTGAAGAATAGTTTGGAGGTTCCTCAAAAAACTAAAAATAGAGGTACCATATGATTCAGCAATACTATTCCTAGTTATATGCCCCAAAGAAGGGAAATCAATGTATCGAAGCTATACCAGCACTCCCATGTTTGCTGAAACACTGTTCATAATAGCCAAGATTTGGAAGTGATCTAAGTGTCCATCAATAGATGAACGGATAAATAAAGTGTGATACTTATACACAATAGAGTGTTATTTAGCCATGGGAAAGCATGAGATCCTGTCATTTGCAACAACATGGATGGAACTGGAGATCATTATGTTAAGTGAAATAATTTAGGCATAGAAAGACAAACATCACATGTTCTCAGTTATTTGTGGGAGCTAAAATTTAAAACGATTGAACTCATAAACATAGAGTGCAGAGGATGGTTACCAGAGCCTGGTAAAGGTAGTAGGAATTGGGAGGATAGATGAAAATGGCTAATGGGAAAAAAAAAAAAATGAATGAATGAACACCTGGTATTTGATAGTAAAACAGGGTGACTATAGTCAAAATAATTTAATTGTACATTTTCAAATAACTGAAAGAATATAATTGGATTGTTTGTACCACAAAGGATAAATCCTTAAGTGGATGAATACCCCATTTGTCCTGATGTGATTATTATATGCATTGCATGCTTGTCATGTGGATGTCCAAGCAGAAGTTTTCTGCAGAGGTGGGGATCTCATTAAGAACCTCTGCTTAAGGCAGTGTGGAAGGGAAATGTGGGGTTGGAGCCCCCAAACAGAATCTGAGGCCATGCCTAATAGAGCTTTGAGAAGAGGGCCACCATTCTCCACATCCCAGAATAGTAGATTAACTGACCGCTTGCACCATGTGCCTAGAAAACCTGCAGATACTCAACACTAGCTTATCAAAGCAGCCAGGATGGGGGCTGTAACCTGCAAAGCCACAGGGGAGGAGCAGCCCAAGCCTGTCGGAGTCTACCTCCTGTGTCAGCATGATCTGGATGTGAGACATGAAGTCAAAGGAGATCATTTTGGAAATTTAAGGTTTAATAACTGCCCTGTTAGATTTCAGACTTGCATGGAGTCTATAGCCCTTTTGTTCTGGCCAATTTCTCCATTTGGAATAGGTATATTTACTCAATGCCTGTATCCCCATTATTTATAGGTAGTAATTAACTTGCTTTTGATTTTACAGATTCGTAAGTGGAAAAGAGTTACTTTGTCCCTGATGATACTTTCAACTGTGAACTTTTGAGTTAATGCTGAAATGAGTAGACTTTGGAGGACTGTTGGGAAGGCATGATTGGTTTCAAAATGTGAGAACATGAGATTTGAGAGGGGCCAGGGTTGACTTATATAGTTTGGCTGTGTCCCCACCCAAATCTCACCTTGAATTGTAATAATTCCCATGTGCCAACAGTGGAGCTAGGTGGAGATAATTGGATCATGGGGGCAGTTTCCCCATACTGTTCTTATGGTAGTGAATAAGTCTTAGGAATCTGATGGTTTTATAAATGGGACTTCCCTATACAAACTCTCTCTTGCCTGATGCCATGTAAGATGCGACTTTACTCCTCATTTGCCTTCCATCATGATTGTGAGGTCTCCCCAGCTATGTGGAACTGTGAGTCCATTAAACCTCTTTCCTTAATAAATTACCCAGTCTTGGGTATGTCTTTATTAGCAGTGTGAGAACAGGCAAACATACAAGAATTTTTTTTTTTTTTTTGTAGGAGGTATGTTTTAGTTCACTAAAACAAACAAACAAAAAATCCCCAAAACAGCATCTAAAGAGAAAAACAGAAAGGCCTTAAAAATATATGTGTATTTACATATTTGTGTGGGTGTGTAAGTGTGTGTAATATGTTTATTTATATACACGCACAC